ATGTTAATGAAGTTGATACTTTCAGAGAGGCTCGACGACACTTGATTGATAAGCCGAATGTTCTAATTCGAATTCATCAGGATGGACGTATCTTGTACAGTGTTAGGTTAATGAAGCAAAACGTTGACTCATGCAAGTAAATACATGTGTTTAAGTAAGAATAAATTTGTTTCTTTTAGACTATCATTGGTGCTATCGTGTCCAATGTCGCTTGAGTACTATCCTCTCGACCGACAGACGTGCCTCATTGACTTAGCTAGTTGTTAGTCATTATCATTATTTATTACGATTATTTTTATTATCAACATTATTATCATTATTATTATTATTTATTAGTTGTTATCATTATTTTTACTGTCATTATTATCAATATTACTACTGCCATTTTTAATTGTCATTAATGTTTATTATCGGTGTGGCGAGAATATGATCTATCACCTAATGGTAACAATCTTCCTATTCCCTACACTGTACACTAAAGGTAAAGTGAACGTTTCAGACGCATACACAACGGACGATATAAAGTATGAATGGAAATCATCGAATCCGATTCAACAAAAAGAAGGATTAAAACAGAGTTTACCAAGTTTTGAACTGCAGGATGTTCTGACTGATTACTGCACCAGTAAAACAAATACTGGTTTGTTATGATTGCTGTTCTTACCTTCATTTCATTTTACGTTAAGACTCGTTTTTGTTAGTGATCATGACACTGTTGTTTTTGATTTGCATTATTATCAGCATCCTTTACACTCATAAAGAAGATAAGGTTTGTCACTTGAAATTAAAACCAAAAGATGAGTAAATAGGATTTCAATGACTATACGATGTAATATCGTAATTTTCTGATCACTGCTATGCGAGTGACGACTATACGATACATGTATTATCGTATTTTCGTGCAGTCATTGCAAATCTGAGAATGTGGTTCGTTCACTGTGGTAATTATCAGTGCATTTCACAATAAATTCTTCCGATAAAAAACTTCTAAAATCAACCCTCACCATGTCAGTATGTTGAGCTTAATACCTCTATACTATATATGTATGGTTATTGCATAGTCATCTCATTCTCATCCTAATCACCAGAATATTATTAGTCATCAAATGCGTATTGTGTATACATATCAGTCTAGTTCATTATAAGTCAGATGAGACTTTCATTCTTTCTGTTATAAAAATGAGTTACTATATAAATTTATGTTATTATTGTTGCTATCGTAAATATATATCAGGAAGCATGATTTTGTTGGTTTGATTTCGGATTGGATTAATGTGTAGTATGGAGTGATGAAGATGCTGTTGCCTTTACCCCTCATTGTTTATTTGTTGTTATTATCATTTTCATGGAATATATGTGCACGGCTTTTGTGTTCACATACAATTTCAGGTGAATACAGTTGTTTGCGTACGAAGATGATTTTAAGACGTGAATTCAGTTATTACCTCTTGCAGGTAAAACTCTTATTGAAGATGATTATATTCAAATGTGCAGTTATGTATCTAAAATATCCCATTTCAGCTTTATATTCCCTCTTTCATGCTTGTCATCGTTTCATGGGTTAGTTTCTGGCTTGATAAAGATTCAGTGCCTGCTAGAGTCACGTTAGGTGGGTGTTATACTTTATCTCTTTATTAATGGTGATTAAAATGCACGATTATATCAATGCTTGTGTTCAGAAATTGCGTTCCAAGAAAGGTAAGCCCCCTTTTTTAGGTGTTACGACCTTACTGACTATGACTACTCAAAGTTCAGGTATCAATGCAAAACTTCCTCCTGTTTCATATACAAAGGTTCTGCTTTATATTTTCATGTCATTATATTACCTTCGTACCACGTAACCAATATTACCACATAAACAATATTATGCTGTTAGGTTGCTGTGATTATTGTTGCTGAATCGAAGACGATTCAATGAGCAACTTTAGTCTGCATACTAAGTTGCTTTTCGTTGATCGCTTTATAAAGAGTAAAGTTTCGTTAGGGAATAAATCGTTATTCAAGTGCATTTATATTGTTTGAGTTCGATTCGGGTCATTGCACTGTTTAATCAGACATTGATGATAAAATCCTTTGAAATGAAAAAAAATTGTGTTCAAATAATATTCATAACACTTTTCTTAAATGCTCTTACAAAGCGATTCGCACATTCATTTTTTGTGAAATGATATGTGACCATAATATAAGCACGTTTGTAACTGCTGAATAGGTATTGATATAGTGGTGAAGAGAGTGTTCAATAATGATGTTCGTGCTTGAGTGAATGTGCATTTGATATAGTGACAATGACATATGAGTATTACTTGTCTAGGCAATTGATGTTTGGATTGGTGTTTGTTTGGCTTTTATTTTCGGTGCACTTCTTGAATTTGCTTTGGTCAATTATGCAGCACGCAAAGATATGAATACTTCTCGACAACGCATGGTTCGACTACATTTCATTTCTTCACCTAGTACTTTCATTACTATTATTGTTGTGGCTTCGATTATTTTATGGTTCAATTCCATCATTGTATGCCTCATTGCAGCAATAATTTCATCAATTGCTTTCTCGTTTCTAATTTTCTTGTAAATCACAGACACACATGTTTTAGATAAACTCTATTCATAAAAAGATTTGATAGTTATAAAAGAAGTGAATGCATATAAGCGGCGAAGATGTAACCATTGTCAGTTTTCAGTTATCAAAACAGCATTTTTCTTTATCATCATCCGCAACAAATCAACAAGCAGTTAATCTGAATAGTGGCACTGATGATCCTTCGAAAACAATCGATAATAGTGATCATTATCAGTTCGCTTCACTTTCGTTATCTAAAGCACGATATCAACCTCTAATCTCACTACCATCCAATAACAACCGCTTATTTAATCCTTATTCGTGTTGCTTTCGACTTTTTGTTAGGCGCTACAAGGAACGTTCGAAACGCATTGATGTTGTTTCTAGATTGGTAGTTTTTAATTTCATTCAATGCTTTTGCATGTTCATTATCATTTTCTATTGGTTATAAAACAAATACAAATAAATCTATGAAAAGGTACTTTTCAATTCTTCAGGTATTTCCAATTGGATATGCGTGTTTCAATGGTATGTTCCTTGTTGATTTTGCGCTCATAAAAGTTGTTTGAAGAGAGCTATCGAATGTTGTTTTTGATTCTGTTTTGCGTATCCTCATTGTATTCTATCTTTAAAATTGCATCTGTGTTTCAATAAGTAAGATGCTACCTAAAAGAAATGATAAATGAATGTGGAATACGAATTGGTTTCGATGATGAACATAATTTGAAGTGCTTGTTTCAGTTCTGTATTGGGCTGTCTATTTGATGTAATGATGATCGGTTGAGTGAGATGCATTACTGGTAATTTACTAAGTTGATGGCATGTCGCATGTATTATCATCATCATCGTTATTATTATCATTATCTTTTACTTATTCCATCTCATACTCTTCACAAATTTATCACTGCTTTCGTTCGTGTCAGAATCTGGTGTGTTCCTCATTCACGTTTTTTTGTAACCGTAAAACCTATTCAAATAATTTTCATCAGGATAACTCTATGAAAGAGGGTAAATTGCTGCCGATTGACACTAATCTGCATACATATTCATATCACATATCGAATCTTTTATTTACTCATTTATTAAGTATATTCCTAACCCATCCTTACTTGATTTGTATATTTAACATTCAATGCCAGCAACTATGTTCAGAACTATTCACATATTATCAAATATATATAGTAATTATTTCATTGTGCTTAAATCCTCAATTAAATTTGATTGCAATTTGAATGTAAATACTCAGTACTCGAACTAAATTCAATAACCGTATGTAACAATTCGAAATGAAGCAAGTAATGTGAGCAAGATGAATGACAAGCCCTAAATATGGATTCAGAAAGCAATTATTAATTATTTTTAATGACAGCATCTAATTGGTGTTCCAGTGAGGATTGTTTAATTGATTTTGAAATATTTCAGGTGAATATAGTTGCGCACGTGTGAAATTATTACTTCGTCGTGAATATAGGTTGGTTTATTGCATTTCAACAGGCATATTCATTTGTGCTTTAAGTTATTACTTGATTCAGCTCTACATACCGTGCATAATGCTCGTTGTCGTGTCGTGGGTTTCGTTCTGGTTGGATAAGGTTATTATTATGAATATTATTAGCATTATCAGACTCTGCAACAAAAATTGAACTTCTCATTCACAAAAATATCAATGTCAGTTTCTAGAGCAGTTTTTTGCCTAGATNAAAAAAAATTGAGCATAACTTCCCATAATTTGAATTTCAGCGATATTTTGAATTTGAATTTTATAATTTCGGATTTGAATTTCCACCCAGCAGCAATGTTTGAATACTGTGTAATAACTAATGTTCAATTGTGATCTGACCAGTAATAACTTATTAAACATGAGTCTTACAACCTCAGTAAAGTGCAAGTCAAATCTAGATACATCGTAAAATATGTGAACGTCGCTACTGGCACTAGTGTTGGGAATTGAAAGAGTTTTTGTGGTGGTTCCTGAATGAATGTCCTGTTGGGAGCGTACGATTTTCGGTGGATACTGATAGGCAAATTTTGAGCATCTGTCGGTTTTTAGTCGGTGGTAATCGAAGTTCGACGTGCTAAGACTAACGCCCGTATAATCCATTTCAGTTGCGGTCGAGGACCACCGATTTTAGAAGCTCCCCGAATTCCGGTGGTTCCCGATCCAACTCTAGTTGACACTGTTTGTGACGATTGATGGTTTGGTATATTGCGCGTTTCTAAGTGGGCGAGAATGTTCTTTGGTTTGGAAGAAATAGTACACAAATTCCAGTTTGGTACCTCGCGCGTTTAATTGCTTTTCGCGGAAGATTGGTGGCTGATAGGGAAAATATGATTCCATGTCCGGGTTCTGCAAATTCTATTGCGTATGGGTAACATCTTGTTCAATTCGTGTGAAAATGAAAAATCAACTTTTCAAGCAGCGAAATTCTTGCTTTTGACCATTTTCTGAATTTTGATGGTTATCTGCAAAAAGAAAAAAAAACAATAAGTAGCAGTGGAACAGTTCATTTCCGTATTCTAGAGAAGATAACCAACTGATCGCTGTATAAAACTGCTGCAGAAGATAAGCAGCTCATCTTTGCATGATTTTGCTCTATTGGACAGTTCTTATTGGTAATAAAAGGAATGTTTGAAGGACGCAGTTCCAGCACGAGTGTCTTTAGGAGTGACAACCCTTTTAACGATGACAACTCAAGCATCAGGTATAAATGCAAAATTACCACCGGTCTCATACACGAAGGCAGTTGATATCTGGATTGGGGTATGCTTAGCGTTCATCTTCGGTGCACTTCTCGAATATGCACTTGTCAATTACCATGGCCGACAGGAATTCTTGAAGAAGGAGAACTTAAAAAAGAAGTTTGATAACAACAATGCAAAGCAATGCCTATGCCCTCCGAACAAGCAAGCTCATTTCATTCAGGTTTTGTTCCATTATTCTTACTCTTAATCATCTCTTATTGAAGTTTTCGAAGTCACCAGGTTGATCAAATCAAATATTAGGAATACAGCAGAGTAGATCTATCAAATGCATTCATTAATTCAGGATTGTAATGTTGCTCTGAATTTCACGCCTTCTCTGCTGTATTGGTAAAATTTTTTATCTACTTCAATCNGTCACCAGGTTGATCAAATCAAATATTAGGAATACAGCAGAGTACATCTATCAAATGCATTCATCAATTCAGGATTGTAATGTTGCTCTGAATTTCACACCTTCTCTGCTGTATTGGTAAAATTTTTTATCTACTTCAATCCGTTATGCAAATATTCTCTCGTATGGTGTAACCAATAAAATAATAATATGATTTAAAAAATGCGCTAATGCTGATAATAACTAATGAACAGAATGTGGTTTGTGGCCAATCGATGAGACTAGACATGAGTGTTTATAAGAAACCAATGCTGTTTAATTTGAATGGTCGCTTTTTGAGAATTCGATTCTCATCAAACAGTGAAATCAGCAAACGTGTTGATCTTATCTCCAGATTCACATTTCCAACTTTATTCGTCTGCTTTTTAGGTTGTTGATTATTATATTAATATTATTTTTATTATCACGTTCATAAGCACAGTGTTGTTTTGCTGTTATCAAGTCGGGTTCGTAGTATTACTGCTGACATGATATTAGCATTGCTGTTAATACTGCTATTATATCTTCATTCTTTATACTGGCGATACATATTTCAAACGAATCTTACACTAAAACATCTTATACTTCTTCCTTGCAAAGAATTAATCGATCATTTACTTTCAGTGTTTTATTACATTACTTACGTGAAGTAATGATGAATGGATAGGAGATAATAATGATAACGATAATAACAAGAAATAAAGCTGAGTACTTACATAGTGGCAAGTTGGTGCTTGTATGTTGGAATGCATCGTATTTGTGTGCCCTTATTGAATTTTTCTTGAATCATATCCATCATTAGTATGGCTATCATTATGGATATCATCAAATGTATTCATTGCATTCAAATTACTTTTATTGTTGAATCGCAATTTCACTTGAGTTTCATATTATAACATTAATGTGTGTGATGTTGAACTGATAAAGTTCAATTGCGATGAACAGATTATTTTGCACTGTTATTAATTGTATCTTTGAGTGCGTTTTTTACTCGTTATGAAAAGAATTGTTCAAATGAATTCGATTAGTTATTTATACAGTAAACAAATAGTTGTGTGTCTCTCTGCCTTCCATCAAATTCACTAAAAGTGTGCTTTTTACATGAAACACTTATGGATACGAAAACGTCATCAGAATGTTATAATATTTTCAACAAAAAATCCGACAGGGAACTGTACATGGCAATTCTTATAGAACAGCGGAATGGAACAGTTTACCAAAAGCGTGGAATAAAAACGACTAATCGCAGCAGACTGCATTATTTGGAGCGAATGTTGATGAATATGAGAGCGAACGTTTTGTAGGGAATTAAAATCTCACTCAGAATCCTTTTCCAGTTTGCGGGTTATAAGAGACTTTCTCAAGAAGTGGTGCCACCGAAATAAGTAGTGTCATTAAACATGGAACAGAAGAGAACAGTTCTGAATAGATGTCGCGTGGAACATAACCGAATTTAACAGCCATCAAAACGATGAACGGAACAGAGCAGTTCGAATGGCGGAACAGGAGGACAGATAGTTAGTTCCTTTAACTGTTCTCTGTTAAGTATGGCAATGAATCAGTCGTCACGGTTTTCGTCGTGCTATTTTTCCGACTGAAGAAATAGGAATAGAACAGAACGGAACAGTTCAAAGAGCAGAACATGAGAGACCATGCCAGCATTGAAATTCACGATGCGGGAACAGAACGGCTTTCGAAATATAAGGGTGGAGACTAGAACAGAAGAGAACTACTGGGCAGAACAGTTCCAAAAAGGACGACAACAACAGAACAACTGAAGGGTGCAATAGAACAGAATACAACATTCCGCTAAAATACGCAATGGAAACCACTACCAAATGATGACTACAAAATTCAATGATAAATGATAATCTACAGTCAGCAGCCTAAACTATGCCTTATCATTCCTTTTCATGAACATCAACATGCTGACCATTTTATCCATGAACCACGAGCGTTTCACTATCGTAATATCGTTTCTCACAGAGAACAGAAATGATGAAGCACTGTCACTGGCTTATTTAAAGTCACATAACATAGTGAGCTCAGACGAAATGCTATTGGTGCACTTAGAGCAAGCATTTGAGGGATGATTGAAGATTCAACTCGGACCTGTTAGCACGAGTTCAAGTAAA